CACCAGTGTTTGCTGTCCTTACACTTGATGCTGGTTTTGAATCCCCTGTGTTTTGTCTGACTTGGGAGTAAACACAGCAATTTCCTAACTGCACAAATATCTTTAAAGAATGGTACGGTTTGAGAAAGGCAGTGAGTTCTGATCTGTGCTACTCCTCGCTGCTGGAGGCAGCCCCACTCTCCATGCCAGCAGCCCTGGCCCACTGCACCCTAAAACACCATCACATTTTTCCTTCTCTGAGTTCTTCAGCTGGAAGCTAATTTTGTCCTCGTGCCCAGGAGGTTCCCCCCCTGTTCACCACTGCTATGAGCACAGCTTCCCCCCAGTGACCCACTGTAACCCACCTGCAGCCTCACCAGTCTGAAGATGGGAGCTCACTAGCTCCCAGAGCCTGAAAGAGTTCCTTCCCCAGGGTCCTTTATTCCTTGCCTGCACTCTTCTGCCTTGTAAACAAGTGCTTGGGTGTGGGCAGAGGTGGGTAGCTCAACTAGGGGCATCATTTTTTCTTTTATGTTTTACTGCCTTACCTGGAGCAGATTTTATATTTTTTGGAAGCACGCACACATTCTTAGGAGGAGCTGGGTCTTAGAACTCAAGCGTCCTATGGCTATGGACTGTGACATATTTCCTGGACAGGGATACCAGCTTGCTGAGAGGGACTATGAGGACTTCCCTGCACTGCAACAAAGTGTTTTGTGGCTGTGGTTCTCCTGGTCCTGCCTTCTGTGCTCCAGAATCCTCCTGGATCTAGCCCTCTAAGAGAAATGAACAGAGAAACTGTAGGATTCTCCCTCCTGCCTGAACTCTATTGGAGGCAGGTGTGGCGTTACGCAGCCCAGTGAGCTCCATCTCTCTCACCCTGCTTTCCTGTTATCCTTCAGGCTGTGCTTTTCACAGGCAGAGTTGCCCACCTGTCTCTGCATACATCCACGCAGCATGCAGCTGGGAAGCGATCTCACTGAGAGCTGCTGTTACTATTCATATAATTAATAACTGTGACCTTTCCATAAAAATGAGTATCTTTTTCAGTGAATTACAACATATAATGATGTTTGTAGGAAACAGACTGCTGGGTATCTCATGCTGAAGAACGCCTGAGCTTCCTATTTATGACTTTGTGAGATCAATAAATAACTCCATTACAAGCAAAATTGTAATGGCAAATGGTTTCAGCCTGTGGGACACCAGCTGAAACCCATAATGAAATCACAACAGTCCTGATGGTCCCATGGAGGCCCTTGGAGGACTGGTGGGAGTTTGGGCATGTCAGCAGCTCCCTGGAGAGAACCCAGTGGCCCGGAAGCAGCCCTGGTGGGTTGAAGGTGGGGAGAGGTCTGTGGGTACACTGAGGGTCCACAAGCCCTCTGGCACAGGGGCAAGGCTGGGAGTCACAGCACTGTGACCCTGTCTTCATCTCTTAGTGACAGAATCATTGCCACATCAACAGCTCTATGACCAGAGCTACAATGGCCTGACTCCATTTACACAAAAGAAGAGAGGGCGAATGCTTTCATAGTGTTCTAAAATGCCTTAAAATCCCTCCAGTCCACAGAAAAAAAGTGTTTCATACCTTCTCCTCTGGAAACCTTTTGGCTAATATTTGAGCAAGAAAGAAAACACAGCAGCTGTTAGCGTAATTTCCCCCTTGAGGCAGATTGTCCTCAGGTAAAACAAAACCCAATTAATGTACCATCAAGGTCAGGTAAATTAGACAACGCAGACCATCATAATGCAGAGCTTTCCTCCAGTGTCTGCCACCGGCTCCAAGTACCAGCCCAGCAGAAGCACCAGAGCAGTGGGGCCTGTCTGTGTGAGCGCTGGAGCTTGGGCTGCTCCGCTGGCAGTGCCGCTGTGGGTATCGGGGACAGGCGGCTGCTGTCTGCCTTCTGCTTCCTGCTTCTGTCGTCGCAAACCAGATGTTGAGGAAAGATTTAAAAGTCAACTTAATTTGAAATTCAAAAATATAAAAAAAACTTGACCACAGGATTTTTTTTTTTTTTGTGGCAGGGAGGGGACACATGAAGGGGAGAAATATTCTTTAATCCTCTGATTATAGTCCCTTTCTATTTTAGTTTTGACATTTATTTTTTAAAGCTGTGGTTATTTTTTCTTTTATTAAGCAGCCAGAGTCACTTCTCCCTCTCTCTGTCCCTTCAGTCCCCAGAAGGACTCCTCTGAGAACCAGACCTCACCCCAGACTTTTCCCTCACAGCTGGGAATGCTGCCATACATACATTCCTCTCCCTGTTGGTGCCTGAAGACTGCACAGAAGCTCCAAATGCAGCTGCACCAATTTACTGGGACATTGCATCGCACCTCATTCCCCAGCCTCACCAGGCCTAGATCACAAGGGATGCCATTGCATTTTTCAGCTAGAAATGTGAGTTCCATACACTGTAGGATTAACCCTTCGGCTAATCCAGTCTCACCTAAGGATGACTGTTTTACGTAAGCAGCCAATACATTTGATCAAGCCCAATCCACTTTGATCAGACCACAGAGAACACAGTGCATGGCAGGAGACCTGGCCAGTTCTCCTGAGAGCAATCAGTTCCTTGTTTAGGAAACCTTCAACATAAAGCTCCCTGTCATTCTGTGGTTGGATGGGCTGAGAGCTGCACCACCAGCAGTGTGATGGTGCCAGTGGAATTCAATGTCAGTGGATAAAAATCCTGCAGATTCAGGATCTGTATGCGCATGTGCACAGAATTGTTGAATATTTTTATAAATTACCTGAAATTCTTAATTATTAAAATTTTAGAAGGAATACAGGCTGAAATTAAGAGTATAACTCCACATGACAACCCTGAAAACTGGCAGCTCACAGAACCAGTGCAAGGACAATCAACAGGGTGAACTTCACTGGGGCTGGGCGAAGATAATCTGGAATGAAACTCTAAGTGGGAGTCAAGAAACTGGAAGCCAGCATCAGAGAAGGGGCAGAGAAGATGATACACTTTATCGTGGCAAAACCAGGCACAAATCCCAGAACAGGTTTGCAACATCTTTGTTAACATCCCACAGGCACTTACTGTGGTGAGACACCAATGGGACAATGAACTCATTAGGCCCAGTCCCATCTCAACCTGACATCCATGGAGCTGAGCAGGGTGGGTGCCGTGGATGCTGCAAGGCCCAGGGGGCTCAGGGACCTCACTGTTAGAGAAAGAGCTGTGGAAGGACAGAGGGTGGTAAGGGATGAGGCTGGAGCAATTTTTTGAGCTGTACTGCTTCAGGCTGGGAGGCTCTGCAATGCCTGCAGCCTTCTTGCATCCTCTGGGGACAGGCCTGGACTCTGGGACCCAGGGGCATTCCTGTCACAGCCCCAGCCTGCAGCACAGGTGCTGTTACTGGAAATGTCTGGTGTTCCAGTTAACACACCCAGTGCACCTGATGGTGTCCAACTGGCACGACCTTGGCTGTTCCCAAAAGGAAGAGACACCAACAGGCTTCTCAGCCCTCAGGCACATGGGGTGCTCCTACCACAGGCTCCTTGTGCAACGTGACTGCAGAGAGACAAGCACTGAAGGGAAGGAACACCGCTCTGCAAATTAAAAGAGCTATTTACGCTCTGCAAGAGGAGCAGTGAAACACAGCATACTTGTAAGTAGGGATGCGGTAATTCGGTGAGAAATGCAGTTGGGAAGTCCCAGTAACAAAGGTCAACCAAACACTAGGAAAAATCATGCAGTCAGACAGGGAAGGATCCAGCTGTGCTGAGCACAGCTCATCGGTCCCAATTAGAGTGGTTTGTACTAACAAAGGGTGATCTCTAGCCCACAGAGCCTGTAATCTAATTTAAAATTCAGTGCAACAATGAAAATGAGGGAAAATAGGAGAGTAATGTAAAACATGATTAAGAGTTTGCTAAGCAAATGTAATCAGAGCACTTACAGAGACAAGTGGCTGAGTGTTCGGAGCAGGTGGGGAAAGTTCTCTTTCTGCACGAGGGCTCACATTCTCACCACCACTGCTGCAAATCCCCTGCTTGAGGGGTGCCGAACGGCTTGAGGGATGCCATCCCCATGTGCCTGCATTTCTGCAGGCAGAGGATGCTCTTGGTGGGTTCTGTGGCACAGCCGCGGCTGGGGCTGGGCTCCAGGCACAGTGCAATGCACGGAGCAAGGCTCCAGCCTGTGCATCGGCCATGGCACGCTGCTTTGCCTAGTCGCCGTGGGACTGTTCCAGCTCACCCCGGGTAACCGAATGACCCAAAAGTGAGGTGCTGACAACTTGAGGCGGCTCGGAGGAACCGTGGCAAAGCAATTCCTCCCCACACGTACATCACTACTTCCCAAGCAACTCGGTGAATGCCGCGGCTCCCGCTCCGCGCACGGCTGCAGACTCGTGGCACCCACGCGTATCCGCAGCTCGCAGCGGGGCAGAGCCGGCTCTGCAGCCATTCCTTGCCCCGTAGCTCGGCCTTACATCCCTCACGCTCTGTAGGATGCCTAGCAGCGAGGCGGCCGGATGCCGTATCGCAGCAGCTCCCGGGGTGACAGAGCATTGCGAGCGGCGGAGCTTCGCAAGGAGCGGCGTTCCTCGACGCCTGCACAGTGACCTGCGGAAACGCCCTCGAAGTGCGGTAGAATGGCGCGCGCCGAAAGCCTTGCCTGCAGCCCCTCCAGCTTCTGGGAGGAAAACCCGACAGAGCTGTCGGCTCGGCCCGCGAAGGGCAGCAAGGGGCGCCCCTGCCGTGACCCCGTCGGGTTGCCGGGCCCGGGATGCCGCCGTGCCCCGTACCGCGTCCCCTTCGGCAAGGAGAGAACTGCCGTGCCCCGGGAGAAGCTGCGGGGGCCGCATCGCCCTCTCCGCGCCCGCCCCGGCAGCGTGGAGCCCTGGCCGGCTCCGGCCGCCCCCGCCCCCGCCCCCGCCGCCGCCAGCGCCGGCCCCAACTCCTCATTGGCCGCCGACGCCGGAGGGAGGATGACGGCCGGGCGGGAGCGGGCGCGGGGGTATAAAGCAGAGCGGGCTCCGCTCCTACCGTCCCCCGCCTCGCCATGCCGCGCGGCTTTCTCGTCAAGCGCAGCCGGCGCCCCGGCGGCTCCTACCGGGCGCGCCCCCGGGAGCGGGACCCGCCGCCCGCCCCGCCGCCACCGCCGCCCGCCGCCTTCGAGGGCGGCCCCGCCGCTCGGCCGGGGGCGGAGGAGGAGGAGGAGGGCGAGGAGGAGGGGGGCGCCGCCGCCGCCCGCCCCGCGCCCGCCGCCGCGACGTGGACCGCGAGCGGCGGGGATGCCGGGGGCGCCGGGCTCGGTCATCCGGAGGGGCCGTGCGGCGGCTGGGGGCCGTGCGGCGCGGCGGGGCCGCGGGCGGCGTTCTTCGAGCGGTGCCCGAGCTCCCCCGCCTCCGCCGAGTCCTTCCCGCTGGCCGCCGCCTTCCCGCCGGTCGAGAAGCTGCCTCCGGCACCCCGCACGCCGCTGCCTGCGCCCCCGCCGCCGTCTGTCCCCGCGCTGAAGCGGCCGTCACGGGCCAAGGCGCCCGCCAAGAGGGCGAAGGCCGCGCGGAAGCTGAGCTTCGCCGACGAGGTGACCACCTCGCCCGTGCTGGGGCTGCGCATCAAGGAGGAGGGCCCCGAGGGGCGGCCGGGCGTGGAGCCGCCGGGGGGCCGCACGCCGCTGGGCGAGTTCATCTGCCAGCTGTGCAAGGAGCGCTACGCCGACCCGCTGGCGCTGGCCCAGCACCGCTGCTCCCGCATCGTGCGCGTCGAGTACCGCTGCCCCGAGTGCCACAAGATCTTCAGCTGCCCCGCTAACCTGGCCTCGCACCGCCGCTGGCACAAGCCGCGGCCCGGCCCCAGCGCCGAGGGCCCCGCCGCCGCCCCGCCGGGCAAGGAGAACAGCCCCGAGCGGCGGCCCCGCGCCGCCCCGCAGCCCGCGCCGCCCCGTCAGCACCTCGCCGTCGCGGACAGCGGCGCCGCGGCCCCCGGCGCGGAGGCGTTCTCGTGCCCGTGCTGCCAGAAGCGGTTCCGGCGGCAGGCCTACCTCCGCAAGCACCTGGGCACGCACGGCGCCCCGCGGCCCGCCCCCCTCGGGCCGCCCGAGCGCGGGCAGCTCTCCTTCGGCTGCCACCTGTGCGGCGCCCGCTTCCCCTCGGCGGACATCAGGGACAAGCACCGGCTGTGGCACGCCGTGCGGGACGAGCTGCTGCTGCAGCCTCCGCCGCCCGGGCGGCCCGAGGGCGGCGGGGCGGCGGGCGGCGAGCGGCAGGGCTTCCCCTGCAAGCAGTGCCCCGCCACCTTCTTCAGCGCGCCCGGGCTGGCGCGGCACGCCAGCAAGTGCCACCCGGCGGAAGGCAGGCAGGTCCTGCTGCTTCAGGTGCCCGTCCGCCCGGGCTGCTAGCCCGCCGAGTGCCCCGGGCCGGGCCCGGCCGCGCTGTAATTCCTATGGAACGTCGCGGTCCGTGTCCGCGCGGCCGCGAGGCGGAGGGGCCGCAGCCCCGGGCGGGGCGGGAGCGCGGCTGTACAGACGGTACTTAAAGAGAGGAATTATTTTTTTTTTCGTGAGAAAGGAGCCCGACCTAGTGACCTTGTTGCAATAGCCTTAGGCCCCGAGCTTCACCTCTGAAGTTATTGTGAAGTGTTTCGTTCGCTGTATTATGTACCAAATAGTCAGGAAGGTGAATGTTCCCGTTCAGTCGGTGTCCGGTCACATAATAGCTAGAAAATCGTATGGGAACTTATTCGTGCTGTCCGCTTGCTAAGACGCGAGGCGTTGCTCTCCGTGCTAAGTACGCATCTCCCGCTCCTTCCGTGCGTCCGCGCTGCGGCACAGTGCGCGCCGCTCCGGGGCTGCCACGGGTCCCGCGCTGCTGCCAGCCGGTGTCCCGCAGCCGGGCCGCGCCGCTGCTGCTGTAGTGCGGCGAGCCCCGTGCTTTGCGGCGCCCTGCCCGGCGCTACGACGCGGCGCGGCCTTTCCCGCCCGCTGCCGGCGTCCCGGGCTGTATTTCTTCGTTCGGTTGGTTATTTATTTATTTATTTATTTATTTTCACGCGGTGCTGCTTGTTTCCAAATGTGATCGCGGATAAGGCCAAAAGTAAGGAAGAGCAAATTCAATAAATGTTCTAAAACAAAGCGAACGCCTTGCTTGAATTCCGGGGGGAGAAGCAGGTTGTTCAGTGAGTGCTGAAGAACCAAACCGATCCCAGGCAGCCTTCGCTACAGCGCTGGGAAAGGAGCATGCAGAGTATTTCCGTCTTTTCATTAAAAGCGATGAATTTTGTTGCACACAACAGGGTGCTCGCATGTATCATGCCCAAGGGCTGAGAGCAAGTGATAATGCTTCATTTTGTGTTTGGGTTCCAGGATCTGGAAATCAGAAAGCATCCAGCAGCCCATTAGGCTGCTCTGTGCTGCCCGCCGAGGCCCCACCTGCAGCCCGCTGTGCCCTGCAAAGAAGCAATGGGCTTTGTTGTAACAGTGCGTCTGTGAGACTCTTGGTGGTAACTGAGGTTCAGCTAGAAGTGCCTGTTCTTCTCACTGATCTCAGTGTCACTGTGCGTTTTTAAACTATCATCCTCTTTCTCTGCTTGCATGAGCAAAGGGAAAAGGGCTACGGACCCTGCGGACCCAACGATTGCTGGCTGTTCCTACAGTCGGCAGCAGCACTAAGCTGCACTTTGTGCTGCCGGGCGCCTTGTTCCCCACGTCTGGGGATGGGGATCCCACACGTTCCTATGGTGGATGGGGAAGTGCTCCCAGAGCTGGCTCACAGCCTGAGCTTCGGTAGGAGCGGAAGCCCCATATCCCTGGCAGCCGCCCTGTGCGCAGTTTGCTGACCTTTTACAAACTGGAGCAGAAATCTAGCAGCTGAGGTGAATGACTAATACACAAAAGGTGGTAAGAATAATTTTATTGTATTATTAAATAGCATGTCTTCTCTTCAACCATTACAAATTTGTAGATACTACATGAATGACAATACATAATTTATATTTTTACTGTTGCCCATATGATATATTTACACATGCAGTTAGTACCGATGCCATGCTACATTTTGTTAACAGCATTCTGTTGTTTGCCAGCCCCAAAATGTGAGCATCTCATCTCCGGTAGGAAAATATCTCTGGATGGGTGGAATGCGTGTACGGAGCTGCTCTTGGGGCTTGAATCAGCAGCACTGCAAGTCCGATCCTGCAGTGTGTTCCCTTTGCTTCCGCAGCACACAGCATCAGAGCAATGAGTTTATATCAGGAAAGTGCTTTTTTGTTGTTGGTTTTTAAGGAGCGATGACACACATATAGCCCAGCAGTCTGGTGAGAAAGGCTAAAACTCATGGAACTCAGTGGCACTGACTACTGATACCACTTTGAAAAGCAAACGTTATAAAAATATTTGGAAGCCAAGCAGAAGGAGAACTTCAGCACAGTGATTTTTATCTTTTCTGGCATAGATGATGGCACCACCTGCGCTGCTACGACATGACACACTGCTCTGTGAGGAAGGAGCTGCTGCTGCGTGCAAGTTACTCTGTTTGGGCTCTGTAATGCCTGAAGGACTGTTGGAGTATTTCATTCTTAACATAAATAATCTGCACACAGGCTGTGCATTAGCACTGTGACATCTGACAGAAACTTTACAAATGCAACTCCAATTTAAAACTGTACGTTCATTTTTCAAATTGTACATATTTCTTTCTTTGTTTCAGAGGAAACTGCAATGGGGCACAATAAATATGGTGTAACCAAATGGCAGTCTCCAATTCTCATGTCACTCAGATCAACCAGAGCTAAAAAGGACTTCTGGGGAGGTGTCCTCATCACAGAGCACAGTAACAGGTACAGAGGGCAGGCTACACTAAATAAAAAAAAAGGGAAAAAATTGTAATTAAGAAAAGGGGGAGGGAAAAAAAAAAAAGAGCCTGGAGTTTGAGTAAAAAAAAACAAAAAACAAAACAAAAAAAAAAACCCAACCAAACAACAACAACAAAGAAAAACCCTTAAAAAAAAAAAAGATGCTAAAATACGAAAGTAAAATTCCAGTGTCGCTGTTTAAAACAAGCACACAGATGGGTAGGCAGGGACCGGGTGCTGTCCTCCAGCTGCAGGCTGTGGGTGCTGTCAGGAAGCTGCGGGCACCCCACCCTCAGGACTTGTTGGCTGAGCCCGAGGAGCGCCGCAGCTTCATGGACATGCGGCTCTTGCTAGTCCGAGGAGACATGGGTGAGGCTAAGTCTGTTCCATCCGCCTGCGCTGCTGCTGCTGCTGCTGGAGGCTCTCCCGGCTGAGTCTCTGGGCAGGAGCCTGCAGAGGACAGCAAGAACCGAGGCTGTCAGTGCTGCCTCCATGCCGCAGCGTGGGCATCTGTACACAAGGGCAGACAGGAGCCCCGTGCTGCCAGCAACCCACCATGTGCACCAGCCCCTCACCAGCTGCGGGTGGCTGCAGTGACTGCTGCAGCACCAGCTCTAGAGAAAGGGTGGTGCCAGGGGCCACTGGGCTGCAAGGCCACGTTAACTGTTGCCCTCAGCCACTGACGCAGCACTGAGGTGGGCACTGTAACTCTGCTATGCAGTGGGACTGACCCCTCTCTAGCTGCCTGCAGGGATGGAGAGGGATTATGTAGGCCATCGCCCCACAGAGTTCAGTCTTTATGACAGCATGAAAAATAAGAGCCCATCGCGTGCCAAGGGAGCTCTAGGGACGCAACTGAAAAGGTGGAGTGAGCTGGGAGAGCAGAACACCTCTTCCCACCTGAACTTCAATCAGTGCTCCAAATTCCTGCAGGGCCCACGAGGCAAAGCTTGAACAGATCATATGAGCTGGATGCACTTCGCATCCCATGTTCTTTGTAAAAGGAACAAGATGAATTTGAGATAATGGTGCAGAGCTCATCCTCACACCCAAAGCTGCTCTGCAGCGACGTCCCCACAGAAGCCCCTCTCATGCAGCTTTGCCTGCTTCTGCCAATAGGTATTATGGGAAAGGCAGCGCGACATGGCAGCTACGTTCTGCCTCCGGGGTACAGAACTGGGACACTGCAAACTCACATGCACAAAACTAAACTGATTTGATCAGCCATCTGCAGAGACCAACAGCTGCCTGGCCCCAGTCCCCCCACTGGCGCTGACCACTTCTGAGCTGTGTAAACTGCAGACAGCAGCTCAGTACTACAGAAGTCAATGGAAAACCTCTGCCGGCTTCGGTAAGCCAGAAAGAACATCGCCTGCTATTCTGTCTGCATCACGGTAATGCTTTTAAAATAATAATAATAATGCAATAATCAGAACTGAAGAGACTTCTCTCTCAGTTAACATTTCACATATAATGGGTTCAAAAAACCCCCGCTAAAAACAGAACTTTTCTTTTCTTTGGAAAGACTCCTGTCAAATAAAATCATGGCAAAAAATTCAGATAGGAAGTCTGAGAGTACAGTTAAAGCACTGCCATAAGCCTGAAGGGTTGGGTGCCTAGAGTCCTCCTGGCCTGGCCACTACCTGCCCGTTCCTCTAAGGCCCCACACTCTTTCTCCAGTTTACACCAGCCTCTGAGGTGACGGGGAGGAAAAAGGGCTGCTATTTGTTCCCCAGCTGGGGACAGTAATTCTCTTCATGAGCTGGAGACCTCATTGCCAAACAATCTGGAAAAGCACGATAATGCCTGACTTACTGCGCCTCATAAAAAAAGGCAGGCAGGGAAACATGCACTCTCATTTTCTGAAATTCTATCTTGTTCTAATTTTACAAGGAATTAAAGCATTTCAAACGGTGGAAGTTAGAGAACAGAAAATAACCATTGTTGTTTTGCACAGCATACCATTCACAGCTAGCGTGAAAGACCTTCCGTTTCAAGCCTTTGCCCTTTACCTTGATGTGGCCAATGCTTTCTAGTGGAGGTTTTGGAAGGAGAAGAAATATCACAGCATTTCTTTCTTTGTTGAGAATGAAGAAGTGATGAGGAAGGAGAAGTGGAAAGAAGTGAGGAAGGGAGAGGAGAAAAGATAAAAGATAACAGGTGTGAGACATGAGACACGAACCGCAGAGATTGAAGGGTATTAACAGATGAGTACAGAAAACAGAATTTCGAATTTCATTATGTAATTGCTGCTCATGCTACAGGTTAAAGAGAGTGATGAGTTAGTTATGTGCAATGAAGCAACAGCTCACAAATCCGGTGTCATACTTACCAACTAAGCATTACAAGAAAAAAGGAAGGGAGAGAGAAAGAAAAGAATTCTATGACATTATCCAGATCCAGCAACCTTGTTTATAGCAACAGATACATCCTAAGCATAGTCTGCAACGTTTTCTCAAAGTCTGTGAAAACAGTTAAATACTCACACACATACACACAACCTAGAAGGAAAAACAAATGGCAATCTGACATATGGCTTCTGCTCCCCAG